ACTTGCTGAGGACACGGATTCAGTTCCCAACACTTGGCCTGGGTGGTTCACAACTGCCTGTAACGCCAGCTCCAGGAGATCTGATGCTCCCTTCTGGCCAACACAGGTACTGCACTCTTGTGCACAAACTTACATGCAGACACATGATTTAAAAAAAATAAAGTATCTTTTAAGGAAAGCCTTTCAGTAACTCCTAGGAAACATTTTCTTTTCTTACCCATGTAGTGCTATGTTAATACCACTAGATCTCTTACTGAAAAGGAAAAAAAAAGTCAAACACAGCTGTTAATATAACCCATGCATGACATGAGTGCTAAAACTCAAGAGAAAGCATAACCAAATAATACAACGATAGAAGAACGTTCAAATGTTTATTTCCATGTTAAAAATGATGAGTTACCCTGTGGTTAGAATATACCTTTATGCTGAAAAATGAAGTCATTTTATTTCTGAAATATTTCCATTGTGGGGGGAGGGAGGAAAAATTCAGAAAGTAATGAAGAGTAAGATCAAAATGTTCTGGAAGATTCCATCAACAATCGCAGCATGAGCCACAGTGTCCTTTCCAGGTTAGAATTCCTAACTTGGTGACTTCGATGTCAGGCCCCAACACTTTTCCCATCATCCGTTTAAATATTGTTGAGCTGGATGTCTGTACACTTAAGAGCTACATTTTCACATGCTTTTATTTTTAAACGTATTTATTCCAATACACCGTTCACAGTTTCATTATATTGCCTATATTACATACAAAAATAGCTGCTGTTCTGTATTTCAGCAAAACTTTGTCCCACCATCCACCTTCTGTGTGACAGGTGAGATGCATTACATTATACTGATACAGTTTTGATGAAGGAGAAAGGAACAGTTTATAAACCATCCATGGTGTCATTTACAGAGACCTGAATAGAGAAATGTGACCCTCTTTAGATAACCAGAGTAGAAAACCCAATGAGCTAAAGATAGGGTTCAGAAACACTGCCTATGGTCACTGCTGGGGACTGGGGGACTACTCATGACAGGCACAGCTTCACTGTGGTCCCACTCATTGAAAACCCCCTTTCATTTTAATTCTCTCTCTCTCTCTCTCTCTCTCTCTCTCTCTCTCTCTCTCTCTCTCTGTGTGTGTGTGTGTGTGTGTGTGTGTGTGTGTGTGTGTGTGTGTGTGTGCTGTATAGGACAGAAGTCAATCATTCCATTTCTCAAGCACCATCTACCTTCATTTTGAGAAAGGACCTCTGACTGGGACCTAGAACTTTCCCATTAGACTGACTGGAAAGGAACTCTCAGGTGCCTGCCTGTCTCAGCTTCCCCATACTGGGATTATAAGCATACACCACGCATTATGCCTGGATTTTTATGTGGATGCTGAGAATCAAATTCCAGTCCTTAGGCTTATGAGCTCTCTCTTGAGCCTCCAAAAGAGTGAAACAAACAAACAAAAATGTGGATCAGAACACCCAAAGGTGGCTTCCTAAACCTTAAATGAGGTGCAAATTACTTCAATCCATAGGTGTAGCCAAGAGAGTAAAATAGAATCAATGCATGTGTTGGCCGTATTCATGTCTGTAAGCAGAAACTTCCTGCCAAGACAGTTAAGAATTGTCATGGTCTGGGAATGTGCCTGGCTAGTATGCCAGGCAGATAGTTTTCTGACACTGTTTACATTGCTATTCTTCTGGCCAAAGACTCCACTGTATTTATGCATCTCTTAAATCCAGCACACCTGTCACTCAGCCCCAGTCCTTTCATGTGGCACCTGCCTCCAGAGTCCCTATACCTTAACCCCAAAAGCATCACATGCAAATCCTGAAGACAGGGACTGCATTGTCTCTAAATGTCCCAGGTCATACTATCGTTGTCTGTCTCATGTCTCAACTTCCCTCTGTGCAGCCAAAGAGCTCACAGCCTGTTGCCCTCTCCTGACTCCCCCAGGAAGAATCTAATCACAAGCATCATTCTCGTGGCAGAGGAAAGGACTTGATAATGTGTATCTGGCTCAGATTATCTATCAAGAGTTATAATTTAGATATCTCAACCATGAAAACTGAAATCCAGGCAAATGTAGGCCTTGGGAAATTTTATTTTAAGGCTTGATAGTTTATGCCACCTCCCTCATTTTAGTTCATGTATTTCAGGGGCTAGCACAAAAAAACATAGCTTGCTTGATGAAAAATCAAGTAAGCCACATAAACTGAGACAACCACCATTTTATAACCTACAAGGGAGAGTTAGAGCAGAAGATGCTTCTACAACACTGTGATGCTGAGTCCTGCCCAAGCTGAGTCTGAGAATCACTAGCAGGCTCTTTGGATTCCCACCAAATGACAGAGTTTGTGATGTCTTGGTATCCACACTACAGATATGAATACATGTGCATATGTGTGTGTGTATGTGTGTGCAATTGTGTGTCACATGTTAAAAAGTGGACTTTCCCTCAGAACCTACCACTTGACTTTTATTTGAACTGATAGTGTCTAACACAGCAACATCGTGAATGTGCACAGAGGGTAATTCACTGAGTATGTCTAAGAAGGCCATGGAGACCTCTTCAGGACCATGGTCAGCTCCCCTGTTCTCGTTCTCCTCGTTCTCCTCCTCCTCCTCCTCCTCCTCCTCCTCCTCCTCCTCCTCCTCTCACCCCACCCCACCCCCACTGCAAGCCTGTCAATCACAAGCAATGCTTACTTATACCACTCATGGTAATTTCCTGCTAAATTACAGGCTAACCCAAGGCCCCACCTAAACAAGAAGAGGCATTCTGCTTTGTATGTCCTTACTTCCAGGGAGGTACCTCTCTTTCAGAAATGACTTCTCATTATTTCTGTGGTGGAAGAAAGGATTTTAAATGGCTCATGAAAGGAGCTGAAACTTATCTGGAACTCTGCTGCACTGCACAGGTGTTTTGGGGCTACCAGCCCTGCTCCAACCTTCCTAGAAACAGCTAGCTAACGAGAGAGCTCTTGGCAGTAGCAGATGTCAGCCAAACTCATGCAATGCCTGCGTCTCCTGGATTCCTTCTCTAGTCAGTACCTTCCATTCCTAGGAGCCATTCTAAACACAAAGCAAGCAAACATACTGCTGGGGAATATAGCATAGGACCTGCATGCCCAGCCCACTGTTTGTAAACACAGTGCTGGAATTGGGAGAGGCAGGGAGAACATCTTAGCTGTCCTGTCGTGGCTACAGAAGAGATGGCTGCCATGTTTCCAGCCTGGACATATACAAAATGAGAGCAGAGGGATAAGAAAAAGTCTCCTCTGAGAGGTTCACATGTCAGCCCTTTGACATCAGTGACCTCCTGCATGTGCTTCCGGCTTTGGGCCTTTAAAAAAATCCCACTTTTGAGAGCTGACAATGGCTCAGTTGAGTTCACAATGAGCCATACTAGTCTAGTATCTGCTTTTCTAGTTACATCATTATGATAAACAAAAATGTCACATTTGGCTAAGCCAAAATCCCTGTCTTTCTTGAGACTACTCATGAAATATGCTTGTAAATAGCACTTTTATTGAAAATAATGCAAAAATCTTTTTAATACCATGGTCTGTTTGTAAAAACTGATTCTTGGGCTCTGGGACGGTCCTTTATAATTATGAATTTGGGAAAACCATTGCTTTCTCTACAAAAAGGTGTTTGAGATGGTTTCTTGTCTATCTGAAAGACAACTGAGATTTTTTTTCCAGTCATTGTATGAATGACTCTTATATTGCTAACTTGAAACATTATTTAAAAAAATAGTCTGCAAAGTGAAAAGTTTAATATGAAGATATTTCTTCATATCTTTGTTGTATAAATTAATCCTGATTTCTCAAAGATTTGATTTTGTTTGTTTTTGTTTTTTAGTTAAGTGAATGTGTCTGTGTATTTGCCCATGAGTGTAGTACCCACAGAGGCCAGAAGAGGGTATCAGATCCCATGGAGCTGGAGTTACAGAAGGTTGTGAGTCGCCATGCGGGTACTATGATCTGAACTCCAGGTCCTCTACAAGAGCAGCCTGTGCTCTTAACCACCAAGCCATCTCTCCAGCCCCTCAATCCTGTTTTTTTTATTTATTTCAGTTTGAATTAATACATTGCATTGAGCACAGAGGACTTTTATCCATACTATGGTACTGGAGTCTCTCTTCCCTCAGAACTGTACCCCAGGAGATTCACAAATCACTAACAAGCAAACGATAAAAACATGTTTGTGACAGGACCTTTCTCGAAATCTGTTAAATTTCATGTGGAAGAATATTAAAAACAAAAACAAAAACAAAAAAAAACAAAAAACAAAAAACCTCTCTTCTGGGTCTCCAGTCAGACCCCTGTTCCCAAGATAAATGAGAAAGACCAATGTCAAGAAGGAGGGACAAAACATGAGACTGTTTCCTAAACACCATCCCCAGCAACAAAGTTTAAAAAAAAATGGCATCCTGTGTGGAGACCCCCATAATGGCGGAACACAATGAGCTCCAGGGAATAAAACTCTTTGGAACATCAAACATCAACTCTTCTTTAAGTGCTTCTGAAACAACCCCTCCCCCTCAAAAAAATGCAAGGTCAAAAAAACAGATGAGAGTCCAGATGTGTATAAAAATAATGAGCCTCACTCCTGACTGCTAAGGACGTTACATTCACTCATTTTTCCACCATGGAGATTTGAACTCAGGCCACGCGCAATGAGTGTCCACTGTGCTTTAAAAGGGCTAGAAATAGAAAAAAATCACCACCTGGAACATTCCTAATTACACACGGCCATTGGTCACGAGGTGACTAACAGTGTCTGTGGGGTCGTGTCTACCGCCAGGCTGCTGTCTCTGATGTCTCCCATCCCCAGGAGCTGGTTTTATAGACCTTGTCCAGCTCTCCAGGCTGCTGATACCCTCTTAGAGAGGGCTCCCTCCAGATCCCCACTCTGACACTGTGTTGAGTCACCCCCTATTGCTGATCAGATCCACTGTTCCATCGCTCAGAAAACAGAAGGCATAAAGGTGAATACAAACTTAAGAAAGGACTTTACATCTGGTCCTGTAGTCTTTCCATATAGTCTCTGAAGTCCTGCGAGTCCCCCAGCCCCATATCCTGGCAGACCCACTTGATGCTGTCATCACTGTCAAACAGGATGGAGTTGGTGTATGGGCCCCCATCCTCAGGGAGGATGGTGGTGTAGGAAGTAAACTTGACTCTCTTCCTCTTTGGGCCGGAGGAACCCATAGGTTCATTTTTCAGCTCTTTTTCATACACATAGTCAGGGGGTCTAAGCAGCTGACTATGAAAAGTCTTCTGGGAACTGCCATTCAGCAGGAAGTTCCTCTCTTCGAACTGCAGACCCCTGTCGATCATGGTTGTGCACTCCTCTGAGGGCAGAGTGATGTCCACGGGATTCTCCAGCAGTTCTACCTCATTCCCGAGCCAGACCCAGTCATGGGAATGGGGGATGTTGCCTTGCTCACTCACCGCGAACCTTTTGTGTCTGTACTTCCAAGCAAAGGCCACACAGTTGATCAGGAAGACCAAGATGGCCAGACAGAAGACACAAAGCAGGGCATACATTCCGATCTCCAAATCCGTTAACCCCCTGGAGGTCATCGTGAGGTCACCAGGGTTATTGGATTCTGGTAATTTCCCTTGAGTGGGGAAGCTCGTGAAAGCATCTGTTCCACCTTTGAGGAGCTTTCCTCCCATGGGAGACTGTGGGGTTGTGCTTTTGTTGGTCCTGTCCTCATGGCCAACTGGTGTGCCATGTTGGAACCATTCCTGGGCTGCACGCTCCTGGCTTCCCTCACGCTCTATGGAATTGCTGAGGTGGCCTTTGTATTCCCGGTTTATCCCTCCAATGTCGTTGCCTCCTTGCTGCTCATGCATTCCAGGTTCAAATCTGACCTTGACATTTCCTTTGCCCACGGCAAGAGTACTCTTCCTCTTGTTCTTCTGACAAGACTCACTGATGGACATTTCTAGCTTGATCAGGGGCCCCTGTCCTTCACCTTCGGCAACCACGATTGGCCATCTGGTCTGAAGGTTTGGCTGGACAGACACCACCATCTCATCCAATGAGGAAACGGTCACCGAGAAATCCTTGGGATCATAAATGTCTAAAGGTGTCACTGAGCCATCGCTGAACAAAATCCAGGAACTGACTACGGCTTCCTAAGGAAAGCGAAACCAGAAAACAGTATTACAACTGGGTTCCTTCAAACTCACAAACACGACTTCCTCCAGATGTTCCTGGCATCTTCAGATAGAGGTGGATTTCCAGATGCGATGGTCCTAGCTCTTGTTATGCCTTGACCTTGTATCATTAATGTACTGGATCTCCACTGACATGAGGTGCCAGGAATGCACTTAAGTGACTATATTAAAGTGTAAATTAATTTATTGCACGTCTTCCCACAGAGTGTGACTTTGACCTTTGCGGAGACACTCAGATGTGGGTGATTTATCTGAATCAATTTCAGATGTAACAACTACTCAGTTACTGTTCAAGACAATGCCACTTTGAACACCCGTTTACCAGGAAGTTGGTGCTGACACAGCAAAAACCCTGTGGGGGGCATCTCCTGGGGGAAGTCCTTGGTAAATGAGGTGGTGTGGGGGCTGGCTCATTTGAATGGCACCATGTTCCTGTCTCTTTATAAAAGGTTGTGCATGTTTTAAGATACAGGGGAGCTTCAGAGTTGATGATCCCTGCCATCAACAGGACAATCGGGTACCAATTGGCCATTCCTGTGCAAGTAGCTGATATGAAGTCTCCGAGCTTCAAAAAATTGCTTTGTCTGTTTGGCAGGTTGGAGAGAACAGGGGATCCCTCAACCATGATCCACACCTACCACAGATCAACCCATGGGAAAGCAAAGGGCATGGGAAGATGTAGCTAAGCCCTGGGTGCTTTTCTCAGAGACAAATAGAAACTGGATAAGAAACAAGAAGGAGGTCCAAGAGCTACCAGGCCTGGCTATGACACTCTGCTGGCTTTCTGTGCAAGGAGCCATAACTGAGAATAGAGATAACTGTATGCACAGAACTTCATGCCTCTGGGAGTCTCACCTGCTGTGGGGCTTGGAGAACATCCTGAGCAGCCACTGTGGAGATGATGGCCCTCTTGTCTGCCCTGTGAGGCTGCAGAGAAAGGGACAGGCCAGCCACCAGTTGTACACCCAGCTCTGTGATAGTGACTCGGTCATCCAGGACAATAACCGTCTTCTCTGCAAGGATGGAGTCAGAGAGAGGCGAAAGGACCTGAAAAGCAAGGGAAATGCTTGTGACTTTGTCCCCCAGGGCCACCTTTAACTCCTGAGCGGCCAGGGCCATCGGGGACCCGACCCACATTCTGGCAAAGGAACACACTGGGAACTGTTTAGGTGGGTCTGTGGTCATTCACATCTTTCCTTAACTAGACTTTATTATAAGGAAAAGGTGGAGTTCAGGTTAGGAGTCCTCACTGAAGTTTTCTACCTTAGTGATAGGTATGGGAGAAGCAGAGATTTTTCAACAACCATTAAGCAGTTTCTGAACATGGGTCGGTGGCACAGTCTCTGATGAGGTGGTGCCCGGCCTGCTCTTTGTGAACATCCCTTCCGGTGGGCAGGCAGATGCTCCTCACTGACACCCATGATCACTGTACATGTAAATGGGTCATCACTGGATAAACCAGTTGAACTGGCATTTCCTAAGTAGCTATTTCTCCAAATAAACCATCTGATGTACAGCCAGGGGGTTGGGGTCTAACTCTCATAGATAATATGCCTGGTAAGTGAAATTATTTCTAGAATATTCCTCCCAAAGACATCCTGCCCTCACTCATTCCTGGCATGTGTTGGGGCGGGGTTGGTGGGGAAGGAAAGCTCATCCTGTGACTCTTCAATGTCACACAACACAGATGCCTGGAGCATCACAGAGGGCACCCAGTATGGTCACCAGAGCTCTTTGGGGGTAGAGGAGGAATGGCTGTGTTCCAAGCTGGTGACAGAAGGAAGTCGGGGACATTTGGAGTCCCTACCAACAAGAGAGGGACACTTGGAGTCCCTACTGACAAGGGAGGGAGTCCACAAGAAGAAATATACAGGGTTCCTGGCTGATAGCCAGCCAGGACACAGAAGCCTTGGTGCTAGATGCACAGTGACGTTCTCCCAAGAAGGGGAGTGAGCTCTGAGGTCAGTTATTTCCCAAAACTTCCTGGTTAGAGCCTACAGATACCCTGACCCCAGCCTTGGCGTGTCATGCAGAGCCCAGTCAAGCCCACCTGGTCTTCCAGCCCACAAAGGCATCACTGCAGAAATGGGTGCCACATAAGATGTAAATCTGTGGTGTCTGTGAGGTGTAAATAGAAGATAAATGCAGAATATAACACATTTTGGCTAACTGCACCAAAAAATTAGCTTGGGAAGCACCAAAAACCATGACTTTATGATAGATAGCATTTTGGGTTGGTATAAAAATTCTGCATAATCATCCTACCAAACTTTGCAATAAAAGGTTGTTGTAAGGATGTCACAGAGACCATTTAACCACGGGTCTTTATCTCTTGTAAAATGTATACTTTCAAATTTCATTTTGTGTACTCTTCTGGGTATAACATGGATAACGGCTAAACCGCAAGGCCGGAGGTGGGTTTAGCTTTTAGGATGTTTGCTACTATCTATTCTGCTGTACAAAGTGTAAAGTATTGTGGGGGAACAAGGTGGCTGGGTAGGTAAAGGCACTTGCTATGCAAGCCTAGTGACCTGAGTGTCAACCTCGGAACCCACAGAAAGGCAGAAGAGAAGAATCAACTCCACAAAGGTGTCCCCTGACCTCCAAATACCCACACATATGTAGCACATGCAGCTACATACATGCAATCTTTTTCTTAATTTTTAAAAGCTCTCATTCGGAATAAAATGATTTCAAGTAGTATGTATTTAATTTGGTTTTCTCTGGTAAAGGAGATGTTTTTCTATACTCTAAAATGCAAAGGAACTTTTAAAACTGTTTAAGTAACCTTTTGATAATTCCATGCGGTGTATCTTCATCCTATCCATCTCTCCCCCATCCTCCCAGATCCACCCCCTTCCCCACATAACCCAACCCTGTGTCTTCTTTATTGTTTTGTTTTGTTTTTTAATCAAGTTTAATTTGTGCTGGCCATATATTACTTGGCACATCATCGCCACTGAAATTGACCTACCAGGGGCCATATGCTTAGAGAAAATAGACCCTCCCATAACCCCCCCCCCCCGCAGCTATCAGTATCAACAGCTTCTCAGCTAGGAGCTGGACCTCATGCCTATGCACTCGCTTCATGCTGTGATTTTGTCTGGTTTGACCTTGCCCAGGTCTGTGTTGTCATAACCACTGAGTTCATATGTACATCTGCCCTGCTGTGTCTGGAAAATACTGTTTCTTTGTTTCCCATGTTCTCTGAGTTTTGAGCTATAAAACCAAGGAATAGATTCCTGCACATAGGATGAACATGTGTAAAATGACATATCTGATTGCAATATACACATATACCATTAGCTGGAGAAATCACTGGGGTTAGGGGGAAAGTGGCAAAGACACCCCCACAAGCCCACCCCACCCAGCAATACCTGCACAGTGGTGATGCCTGGCTCCCGTCCTGCCAGGATCCTGCCATCCTGTAACTGGGCAATTTTCGGCTCCTCCACCTTCACAAACTCGGTTACCAGGTCAGTGATGTCAAACTGCCAGTCAGGACCCAGCATGTAGGTCAGCTGACCCAGGTCAGGTGACTCAGATACAAACTGAGTGAGGACACGCACCAGGGCATGCTGGTACTGCAGGGTACACCCTCGTCCCTTTTTTTCCTCATCTTCCTCATCATCGCTCTCCCGGGTGGGCCTGGAACACAAAGGAAGCAAAATAGATTAAGGTTCCTCTTTGACGGGAAGCCTTGACTGCCCTTGAATCAGCCTGACTGTCAGAGGAAATGCAGAAGCTTTTTCCTATTAGGAATCTATTGATTCATTCATTCATCCATCTCTCTCTCTTTCTCTCTCTCTATTCTTATATCCTTCCTTCCATTTTCCACTGACCCCCTAATTGTCAACAGCCCCCTCTCAGAAAAATCCTCTCTGTCTCCTCGATTCTAGAACCTTCCATTTGAGTAGAACTTGCCCTGTGACCTTCTGGGGAGGATTTTGCTGACCACTGGCTGTTCTGTGGATGGAGACCATGTCAGAGCAGGCAAAGCAGCATCCACAACAACTCCTACAAGAAGAGTTAGACATACCACAGCCCATTCTCCCAGAGTGCCAGCTGACATCCCTGTGCATTGAGTTAGACTACCTTGAACTCTGGCACCTGTGACAGACAGACAGACATCACAGTGGCCACACACACATCCAACCTTTGAAGAGCCTGGAAACTGAGGTTTAACTCTTGTTCTGATCTTACCGATTAAGAGACCAAGATGGGAGAACAGAGGTCCCTCAATGAAGGCCACGTAACTGATTATCTGCAGAGGCAAGGCCACCCTAGCTGCTACACTATGTGTCCTCTCCCTTTCTGCATCCATTCCATCTTTTTTCACATGGCCATGGGCAAATCAATCTTCTCAGTGTTCACCAAGTGGCCCAACAGCCCAATGCTAACTACAGATCTGAGCCAAACTGTCGTTGACTTCTGAATTGGCTATCTCCCTTAAGGTCAGAGAACAAAGTTCTGAAAACAAAGCAGGGAGGCACACAAAACCTCTCCAGCACAGCCATAGGGAAATTCTGGGTTCCCAGAGACAAGGCAAGTTATCTTCATCAATAAGAAAAAAAAAAAGGCTTTGGGGACAAAAGGATATAGCACTTAAAATCAGAGCGACATGCTCTCTGTGATTGAATGTAAAATGTCCCACACAGGCCTGTGTATCAGGATACTTGGTCCTCAGCATCTTCGGTGAAGTTGTGAAACCTTTGGGCCCCAGAATTTAGCTGGAGGGGTGGTTCCAAGATTTAGGGTTTCCAGCCCAACCTGGCCGTGGATCCCTGCCACGTCCTGATTTCCCTTGATGTGAATAAGCAGCCTCCTGTGCCCACTGCCACGCCTTCCCCGTCATGAATGAAAACCAACCCCTCCTCACCTAGGATGCCTTCACCACATAATTGGTGGCAGCAACAAGAAAAGTAGCTAATAAGTGATAAGAATCTCTTCTCTTTTTATTCTCGGTCCTTCAGAATGCATCACAGAGACAGTGTCTGTTTGGTACATCATGAGTGTCCCCCGGTGATTTCCACACACCTCTCTTAGAATAGAAACTCACACAGCCCCCAAACAAAATTGGCAGCTTTCAATCACAGGCCCACACTCTCTCCATTCTGCTCTTTACATTAAATATATTTTACAACGGAGAATGCTGACTGGGGTAACCTGTGCTAGTGATGCAAAGTTTTTCCTTAACCAAACAGGTAGAACAGAGAGGCCATCTTAAACACGCCAGAGATTAGCACTAGGATGGCTTGTGATAATCATTGGTGTGAACCTCTGGTTTAAGATCTCCCCTTTGCCTTTAAATCTCAGAAATGTCACTGTGAGATGTTGTCACTGCTGTCACACAGATTCCTTAGCATTTGCCCAGCTGGTGGTTGCCTTGGATGCTTGCCTCTGAATAACTTGTGTATTTTACCAAGTTTGGTCCGTTGTCATCATGTGCTCTCAGCCCCCCATTCTCACTATCCGCTCCCCCAGATTCTAGTTCCAGGAACTTCAGACATCTTGTCACTGTCCCACAAGTCCCTGGTGGTCTGTCCAGCTGATTTTCTGTTTTACTTAGACTGAGTCTTCTCGTCCATCCCTGACTTCACTGGCTTTATTCTGCCATCCTTCCCACGCTGCCAAGACTATCCAACTGAGAGGTTTGTCCAGTTACTTCTCCTTACTGATATTGCTTATGTACTCAATGGTATTGAGACTACTTAAAATTCCATAGCAAATACACCCCTCAAGACTCAAGATAATAAGTGATTTCAATGTTACAATCCACACAGCTTAGATATTGTGATTTTAAAGAACACAGAGACAGCTAGGAATCCACTTCTGTTGAATCTGTTCTGGCGTGGCACACAGGATCTGGTTTCAATGGAGTTTGGAAGTCAGAGGTCATCAATGATGCTAATGTCTCAGTGGTGGTCCCTTGACATCATGGCTCCCATTCTGTCCCTGATGCTTTGTCTCTAAGGGTAATGTCTACTTCCTTGTTCAAGGGGATGGGTGGAAGATGTCAGCCCCTCAGACAGCATCAGTTCACTGTGCTGACACTTCATGTTTCAGAGGAACTTGGAGTCTAGTTCTGGGCCTTTGTGGTATCCTGAGCCTCTGTTTCAGAGCGTGTCTGAGTTTTCCCATCACACAGCATCTGGGAAAGCTGATTGTTTCAACACCATTGGATACCTGTTTCCACCGGTTTAACAGCCCTTGCCTCCATTTTTCTCTCCTCTAGCATTTAACTGTAAAAAGCAAGGCACACACTCAACACTTTGCCTGGGAATCACAGCTTCACAGACAGTTTCATTCACTTCCCATGTAAGTGCAGGGCACAGCACACTGGCAATTTGTAGCAGTCAAATGAGAATCCGTGCTCCCCACACCCTCTGAATATTTTCCAAGTGCGCTCTTGTCCAGGATGACTGCTATTTCCAACCAGGTGATGGGAGCTTCCCAGCAATGTCTCATGCCATCTGGCTCATTGTCAACACCTTCACCACCACCCATGAGTCTACAAAGAGTCTGCCAAAGGCCACTATGCTCCTCCAGAGACTTCCGCCTTCCACCTACTGTCTACTTGCAAAGACTCTCTCCATGGAGTGTTACAGCTGCACTCCAACACTGGGTAACAATATCTGGGTTACTTTCTTGCTTTGTGGTGTAACAAATGTCCACAAACCTCACAGTTAAAAAAAAAAAAAAAACATTTGCTTGCTTGCAGTTCTGTGAGTCACGGTACAAGGAGGCTCCAATGAGACATTCTACATCAAGACTCTGAAGCTGAAGTCAAGATGTCAGCTGGATCCTCATCTGAAGCTTTTAGGAAAGAATCCACATCTAGACAGTTAGGTTGGTACCAACAGTTATACTGGGTGCCACTGGACTGTGTTCATCATGAGGAGGCTCATGGATCCTAAAGGCTCCAAGCACTGTCCTGGTGCATGGTTCAATCCATCTTCAAAGCCAGCATCACCCCGTCAAGTGGTCCTCACCCTCAGACCTCTCCAGTGCCCTTCTGCCACTAGCTGGAGGAGGTGCTCAGCTTTCAAGGGTCTCATCTGATGAATCTGGCCCTCCTCGATCATCCCCACATCCGACGATAGATTGCTTTGGCTGTAATTGCAGCTGGGAAGTCTCCTTGGCACGGTGCCAGGTTAGTGCTTGACTGGACTTCTAGTTTTATTGCTGTTGCCGTGATAAAATAATTTTCCCGAAAGAAAGCAACTTAGGAAAGAGAGGGTTAATCTTGTCTCACAGTTCCAGAGGGATATCATTTATCATGGTGAGGAAGGTCTGACAGCACAAGCAATAATAATAATAATAATAATAATAATAATAATAATAATGTCTGCTCAGATTATACACATACTCAGGAAACAGAGAGTAAGAACAGGAAGTGGGGCGCACTCTCAAAGCCCACCCCACCTCCAGTGATATACTTCCTCTATCAAGGCTCCTCCTCCAAAAGGTTTTATAACCTCCCCAAACAGCGCCACCTGCTGGGGACCTGGTGATGAAACATTTGAGCCTGTGGGGGACATTTCTGCTACACCTGAATAAGCAGCAGATGGGCATCCTGGAGAAGAGTTCGACTTCGAGACCTCCCCCTGCAGAACACATCATTTCACTGGATTCTTGGGACCTCTTGTCACACTATTGTTTCCAATTTATAGTTGAAGGAACTGAAGAATATGTAGGTGGCATCATGAAGTCCCATGGCCGTACATGGCAGAAACCAAGGCTGAAACTCAGGCAGTCTCATTTTCAACAATGAGCTTTTTACCACAGGATACCTCACTCCATGGATGACAGTCAGGAAGGAAACAATGACTGAGGAAGTAGTGGATAGTTGTGGGCAGACAGCAGGAAGTAGTTATGTTGTGAAGGCCAAGCTCTGTGTAGCCGCTTCTTAGATCTCACCTCACCTTCCCACATCCTAAAGACGGCTTGCTCTATGAGGCTGCCAGTATCGTGGCTGTCACCATTAATATTGTCTTTGGTGTCATTTTCTCACATCCAACTGTTAGTCATCATCCAAGTCAGATCCACAGGAGCCCAAGTCAAGAGCACTCTCATGCACTGCTGGAAGCCAAACCCAGACCATGGCAACACACTTCAGACATTGCTTCCTAAGAACCAGCTTGCCTCCCACAAACACCTGAGCCCCAGCAGCCTCTAACCCACAGCCCAGGCTCCTGTTCCTCACCTCCTGTTGGGTGCCACTGGGATCCTCCAGCCCTTGATCTGGCTCAACTCCGTATCTGAGATCTCAATCTGCAGTGGCAGGCGGGGCACCCAGACGGTGATCTCCACCTGGGAAGTGAAGTGCTGGTGGGTGAAGTTGACAATTGTGCCCACTTTGCTCTTCATCTCCTTCCCGTTCACAAAGATAGAATCACAGGTGTTGGAGACCTTGGGGAGCGGGAGGCAAGAGACACAAGACACATTATCGAGAGACATGCTGCACGCAGATCTTGACATCTGTAGAAGTTCATGAACCACGACAGCTCTGATTTATAAGACACCAGAAGAACAGGACAGGTACAAAGAGTAATTTGTAGGCACTAATTAATGGCAAATAGCTGATAGATAGACTCCAGGAAAGTCGTTTTTGTTACACAATACTGACAAGTTAAACCATAAACATAATTTAATGGAATTGCATAACCTCAGCCGCCTTTTGGGAGGGCCGCTGTTTTCTTTATCTTACCTTTTCTTATGTGCTCAAACCACCACTAATCAAGCCCCAGGTGTATCTTATTCCACTCTGGTGCCACATTTGAAACTTCGTAAAAGGTTTAATGTTACTAAGAAAAGGCTTTGTTCCGGCCATAAAGCAGAGCATCTGAAAGAAATTCAAGAGGGCTCTGTACTAGATGAAAATCCTGGTAGGCTAAGTGCTCATGGGATGCCACTAGAAACACAGATGGGATTAATCCTGCAAACAGGTGAGATGCAGTTTTGAAAACTGGAGAGAAAGAGGTGCTGCCTCACAGTAGTCTCTGGCTTAGCACTTGGGGGCGCTCTAGCTCGCACTGTACCATGGGGTCTTGCCAGACACATCAGCTTCCTGCTTCACTTCCCATCTCCTGGGTGAGCAAATAAGATGCTGCGGTCTTGCTCTCCATCAGGAAGGTGTCTTCATGTGAAGTTCAAGGGCGGGAGTCAGGGATGAAGGCACAAAACACGAGGAACCTGTGATTTCATTTTAGAGATGGGAAGACTGAAGCTGTGACACGGCATGGTTGACTGGAAGTGCACACTACTTTGGTGTGGTGTGTGTGTGTGTGTGTGTGTGTGTGTGTGTGTGTGTGTGTGTACATATATGTAGAGACCCCAGAGGACAACCTGAAGTGTCGTTCTTCAGATGTCATTCACCTTGTGTTCTGAGAGAGCTCACTAATTTGGCAAGGCTGTTTAGCCAGTGAGACTCTGGGATCTTTCTGTCTCTGCCTCTCCAGAGTTTGGATCACAAGCATATACCTCACGCCTGACTTTCTGTATGGATGCTGAGGACTGATCTCAGGTCCTTGTGCTTATGGGATAATCATTTACTGACTCAGCCATCTCCCAACCCCTATTTCCAAATTATTAATCTGTTGAACAAATGGTATCTAGAAATAAACAGGAACTTAAAAATTCATCTATAATGAATCCCCCCCAAAAAAACAGCTATTCAGGGCAGGAGGTCATGAACATAAGGGAACTTTAGATGGCTAAGGTCTGACTGAGCAGTAAAGGGGCTTCAGGCCTGGCTTTGGTGACTTGGGGATGGGGATGATGGGAGGTTAGACATTGTGTACCAGAACACATGAGAATGTTATCACTAAACACCACTTTATGGAGAACAGCTAAAGTACTGTAGTTGAAATAATCTATTATATATTTCATGAGTTTACAAAAAGGGAGAACTTTCAGGCTCTAACCACAGAGCAATGATAAGAAGATACAAATGGAGTTATCTGATTTGTGTTGGGGGTACCATACACCACACTTATACCAACAAATACACATACACACGCACACACACACACACACACACACACACACAATCATTGTGCGTGAATTAATTTTTTAAAACATTTAAGGTGGTGGAAATGCCAGAGGCCCTCATTTAACAATTACACACTGTACACAAAATGGAAGCATCATACACTTACCCACAAATCTATACAACTAAAAGAACAATATTCTTAAAAGACAGCAATGATGGTGGTAGCTGAGGTCTCTCGACATTGTAATCCCAGTGAGGGGTTGAAACAGGGGTCATTTCTTTTAACTTCTCAACTTGAGGAAAAAAGAATGCTCTTTCCCAGCCTTCTCTTTGCTTTTTAAAAGGAGAGCAATACAACAAGCCAAGAAAAGCAGCTGTCATTCAGGGAATGTGGGAGGGACTTAAGCTTGTGTTATTGAGCCTGGAATCATGGAGAGAACCATCAGAAATGAGCCTCCCACATAAGACAGGACATAGGACTGAAGACCGTGCTCTTATATTCCATGGTGCCTATGGTGAAGAATCTGACTTCCATCCATCTGATTCTCAGGAAAGGGTCAAAGCCTGTCACAGGAAAGCTCTCCCATTCTGCATGAGCACTGTGCTAGGACATGTTGAGTTTCATGAGGCCATGACCTCCCCTGGACTCTGTTCACTCTACCCCAGAGAACATGGCATCCTATCTGAAGTCAAGACAAAGTCACCTTCTTCCTGCCTCAAAGACTGGTCAGCCATTTCTTGAACTTTCTTGATACCCCTTCCTGGAATTCAGAACTCAAAGTCCCTACATTTGTGAGGAGTCCTTGACCTTCCTTGTCACCTGCTACCGATCCACACCAAATCCCACCTCAGATCACTCTGATTGTAGCCAACTGTCAGGGACACATTGGCTCTGGGAATTTTTGCCTTAAGAACTTTGCTGAGGAGACAGATTGATCAGGAAAGCGCTTATTTTTTTTTTAACAATTTTCTTTTTTTCTCTCTTTTTTTAAATTTTATGTATATGAGTACACCATTGCTCTCTTCAGACACACCAGAAGAAGGCACCAGACCCCATTACAGATGATTGTGAGCCACCATGTGGTTGCTGGGAATTGAACTCAGAACCTCTGGAAGAGTAGTCGGTTCTCTTTACCACTGAGCCATCACTACAGCCCCAGGAAAGTGCTTATCGTACAAGAAGGAAGACCCAAGATCAATTCTTCAGGACTTACATTTTACAACATGAAAAAGAAGATAGTCTAAAGTGATAACTCAGTGGTTGATCACTCTGGCTGCTCTTCCACAGGACTGGGGTTCAGTTCCCAGCACCCATGCAGAGGTTCACAATCATCTGTAATCCAAGTCTAGAGAGTCTGATACCTTCCTCTGGCCTTGGCAGACATGGCACCCACAGACTGCACATACATATGTGCAGCCAAAATATGCATACACATAAAATTAAATATAAATAAGGTTTTAAAAAGAAGAAAAAAGAAAAGCATTAGGTGTGTTTGCAGGTACTTATAGTCTCAGAGCTGTGAAGGGAGAGAAAGGTAGATTTCTGAGACTTCCTAACTAGCCAGACAAGCCTACTTGCAAGAGGCAGGCCAATGTAAGATTCTGTCTCAAAACTGGGTGGAGGGGGGGCTCCAGGTCAGTGAGAGACCTTGTCTCAAAATACAAGTTAGATAGCACCTAAGGATTTATGCACTTGCATGTAGTCCTGTACACACAACATTCACACACATATACAACATACACATATATACACATACATGCACAGATATACAACATACAACACACACATACATACACACACATACAGACATATAAGTATATATACACACACATGTACACACAACATAAACATACATACACATATACATACACAAGCAAACATTACATACACAAACACATACATACACATATACACACATACACACATATACGACATATATACATATACACATACATGCACATATATACAACATGAAACATACATACACATAAACACACATACTACATGAATGCACACACATATAAATATATACACACAACATAAACATATACAAATACACAAACATACTATGCACACATATACACAAACATACACACATATACATATATGCATAAACACACACAATATACACATACACACACACACACACACACACACTAAAAATAAATGGAATTCAGTCCATATATGGTGGATGGAAAGAAACCAGGAAAAGATACAGAGCTTGAAGCATGGGGACCCAAGGAAGAATGTATGTGACGTTGGAATCCCAGTGCACAGTCTGACCCTTTGACGAGAAACTGAGATTACAACATGGAGTAAGAGCTCATTAGGCAGAGAAGACACAACTATGTAAAAACCAACTTCCCACTCCCATCATTCACCTATCAAAAAAAAAAAAAATTGAGTGTTTCCTGCATGTATGGGAGTGCACCACATGGGTGCAGTACCTGCAGAGGCCAGAAGAGGGCATCACATCCCCTGGTACTGGAGTTACAGATGGCTGTGAGCTGCTATGTGGGTGATGCGAACTGGATTCAAGTCCTCTGCAAGACAAGTGCTCTTAGCTGCTCAGCTATCTCTCTGATCCCCATCATTCATCTAAATGATACTTGAGGGGCTCTCTGAGCCCCAAGAGGAGCATCAAAAACCAAATGCTATCCATCCTCATGTTAGAAGAGCAGAGGCTAGAAGCACGGAGCTCGGAAAAAGACCAAGCCATGTCACGTTCATCTTCCAGTGTGTGTAAAACAGCTTATAAAATGTCATATTGCAAAAGCTGCCTCTAGAGGTTAATATTTTTACTGTCGAGTTATTACACTTCTGCAACTCCATTATCCCAGGATAAAAGACACAAAGGGGGGCTTTGAGACGTGGGGATGACTCCTGGGGGATCTTAGGAGATGTTCATTTCATTCTCCATTCAAACAGAAGAAACAATGTATCCTGGGTCTAACCATGCTGCCTCCGGCTTGCTATTGCCTCATCAGGCAGTGAACACTTTTGGGTGGTTTGCCGTGACCTTTCCCAACCCAAAGACTGCCTACACTACAGAATCAGAGAGAGCACTTCCCACAAATATTCACAGAAAAATCCAGAGGTCCCAGATTTAGACAGTCAGAGGATCAGTTGTCATAGGAACAAAACACTTTGCAGCTCTTACTGCAAACTGTTGCAAAACGCACTAAGACACAGCAGGGATGTGGATAGTGTATTTGTTTTTTTTTTTAATTTTCAAGTTATTTTTACTGTGTGAGCACACACACACACACACACACACACACACACACACACACACGGAGGTCAAAGGACAACCTGTGAGGGGTCAGCTCTCTCCTTCCACCATGGGGCATCAAACTCAGGTTGTCAGACTTGGGCAAAGCACATCCAAACCATGACAATGCCTTTATCACTATAAGC